AACTGAGTATTATGGGAAGAGATACCACAGTATGAGTTACCCATAATTATAGTGAACAATTTGAAACAATACAGTTTTGTGTAAAGTAGATGAGGACTGTATCACAAGGAATAAAAAAATAGCTTACCTTACAAAAATATGAGTTACAAAGGAGAATTTTAGTGTTTTCTGATTTTCTATTTTTTCTAGTTTTAGGTCCTTTTGCTCATTTCTTTTACACACTTTCATGTTCATAAAATAATGAATATAACAGCATGTGTTTATTTTTTCATAAGCTTTTTGTTTCTATACAAAGCTTCCATAGTTTTGATGACATGCTATACAGGAATAATAAAGACTAAATTTTCTCTGTGAACTGGGTTAAATAGATTAAACTTTCTCAAGCTTTTTATTTAGCCATACCTGAGATTTTTCAGATAAGAAGAAGTTATAATTGAGTGAAAGATTTCTGCAGGCTCTAAAGATTTGTTAATTGCGTCTTTTTTTTCTTAGTTGAACATGAGCTGTAAAAGCATTTAACTTTTGTTTTTGCTAATATTACAATTGATTCCAGTTCCAATAAGGGTTTAAGTTGACACAAAGTAAAATCATTGAAAGAAAATGCAGGCAAACCTTGATAAATACCAGATGAAATTGTGGTGGTATTAAGTTAGACTCATACACACATTGTATTAATAATAATAAAAAGGAGTTCAAACCCATGATCTTATTTCATAAGGATTTTTTTAAAAATTGATTTTATCAGCCTACATTATATTTCTTCAAAATGGAAATTCATGCTGACTAGTTCAACATGGTGACTTGGAGGTTTTGAACCCATGACTTCATTAATGCCGCAGTCATGACTAAAACAGTATAGCTGAAATTAATCTTTTTTTAGACATTAATAAGTCATAGTGAAAAGAAATAATTATCATGTCTTTGGGCCAACAGAAGAACACTGAAAAAGAAGTCAAGTAAACCAGAGCATTTCAAGATAATTGGCAGGCATACATCATTTATTCCAGATTAGCCAAGGTCATGCACTTGATGCTCCCAGTTTTTGCATCCATATATGTGGTCATTGTTGCCATCAAATTCCTGAATTTTGATGGCTATATTTAATGGACTGAGAATAGACCATGAAGAAAAGTACTGAGAACAGCCAATGTAAAAAGCACGTACTCCATTCAGTTAAACAGTGACCTTTTTAACCTCGCTGTATGCAGGAAATATCCACTTGTATTTTAGTAATTACATTAGCTTCCTTAATGGCATTTGATACAGATGGTATAGGAAGAACTTATCTGCAGCTGAAGAATGCAGGCAACAGTTTGAGTTGTGAATACTTTTTCTCGTTAGAGTTAAGGGGGGGGAAGAGAACTGAAAATTTGTGTGCTCTCTTCAATCAGAGCCATTACTTTTCAGAGGTTTTTACCTTTTTTATTCTTATTATCTTAAAACTAATAAAATTTTGCACATGCTAAAAATCTCTTATTGAATCCTGTAAAACAGCAGAGAGGAAGAATAAATGCAGTTATAATGTATTTGGGACTTAGAAAATTAATTAGAAAATTGATATTTATTCTGATTTATACTACAAATTCAATTTGATTTTATGAAGATACCTTAACCATTTTGTGTTCTCTTTTGTCTGTAAAATGCGAACAGAACTTCTTCTATCCATTTTTTTTAATTTTTGCCTGTTAGAATTTAGACTGTGTACTGAAGGAAATTATTGTAATTCCTCTGCCATGCCAAAAGCAGTGAGGCAATTCACACAAGTTGGACTCCTAGAAGAGAGGATGGCGCAAATTTAAAAACCAAAAGAGCATTAAAATTATCTTTTTTTTTTTTCTGGTCTTTGAAGGAAAAGTTAAACAGGACAGGGATCGTGATTCTTCCTTAACTTACTCCTACAGCTTTTGATGACGTGGGATCTTCATAAACCAGAGATTACATTTTGACAGGTTTTCCTAATAGGCAGAAATGGATCTGTCCTCCATTAGGTCTGATCTGTTTCTATCATTCTCTGCTATTAACTGCACAACAGCTCTGACAGTAGACTTTGAAGATTAATTATGTTTTACATAGCAGTAAAAAAATCATTATTTATTTCAAATATTTTCTGCTCAGTCAGGAACAAGTGAAAATAGGAAGAAGCACAATAGAACCCTTAGCAGCTAGGGGGGAGGAAATGGAGCGAATAATGGAGGGCAGACACTTTCCCTTGTGGTTTGACTGGAAGGAGTCTCTGAAGTGGGATTAGGGGGCGGATAAGTAAAAAACTTATAATGTGATATGGTGGCCCTGCTATGAATGTTTCACATTTCTGTATTCTGCTTTACTTTAAGGAATTTATGGTATGAGTATTTAAAGATGAATAGAAAGTATTTCTGTTTCTATTTCCTTTTTCATACCCATCAAGATGTGTGGGATTCCCCATTTTCTGTCTGGGCTACTCCCAGTTTTGCTTATTTATAGCTAGAGTGCTGCATGCTTAATTTATGCTGTAGACTGAGGCAAACATCTTTGACACCATGAACTTCTTTTATGAGGCTTTGCTATCTCACTCTGTATTTTCCTATGTGAAAAGTGCTACAGTCTCTAAGATAGTTATTTGTTTCTTTTGGACATGAAAAACAGCCTCTTAGAATGTCGTTTTTAATACTACTGGTTATGAGAGATATTAATGGCTATTATCAATGAGTTGTTTCATCAGGCAATTACAGAACTGGTTACAACTAATGGGCCTGCTGACGTGCTAACTAGATGTCAGCTCTGTATCCTTCTCTTTCTTTTCATGAATTTCAGCAAAAGCAATTTAATTCTCCTTTCCAATGCTGGAATGCTACATCCAAGCTTGCAGTTGATTAGATGTGATATACAAAAATTATCAAGTAATGTCCAGAGAAATAGTGATAAGACATCAATTTTAGGACAGATGACCAGTTTACTTAAACCCATAGAATCATTAAGCTATTAAAAGTCAGAGATTATATAAAAATTCTTATTATTGTAAATATATAATTTTGCACTAAGTTAATTATGACTTCCTTCAAACAGAGTTCTGTTTTCTCATGTCTACAGCTTTGTGTTATTAGGACTGGATCATCATTTTTTTCTGGATGATAATCATGAGTATTTATTCTAGCTTTGTGCCATTTTAGGCATGTTTGTTTTGGTCCACACTCCAAACTTTTTTGTATTCTTTGAGGCTACACAGGTAGTGTAAAAATATCAACTGTCTTTGAAAGTTAAGAATTTCTAATTAAATTAATTATGGCATAAACTATTCATTTTTGTGTTTCTCTGTAAAGGATATACTTGCATCAAGTTTTCTTTTTGAAAACCTGGTGAAGATGCAAAGAAATTACTGCTGGTGCCTAATCATTTTTATGTAATTTTGTTGGTTTTTCCATAACTATGTATGGTGCTTATTCTGGATACATTTGTTCTTTTGATGTAAAATCAGAAGTAAAAGCATGTACAAATTTAGAAGATTGCAGCATGGGGATATGTTTCCAAGAGCATTATTTTGCCTTAGTCATGCTCTAGTACACCTGAAGTTTGATTTTGACAGATGATGATTGTGTGACAGAAAGATAATTTTTTTTTTTATTTTTTTTTTTAGTTTTACAAAATATAAGGTGAATTCATAATACACCAGACAACATTCTATGATGAAATATTTGATATGTCTGTGCTACCTGCATTGGTTTCACTGTAGAGTTCAGTCTTCAGTTTGGATTTTCTTTGTCAGCTTTCAAACAGTGGAGGTAGCCTGCAGGTGATGAGTATCTCATTAATCTTTCTGATCTTCTAGCACTTGAGCATAAGAATAGCTGATCAATTACAGCAATTGTCTCCCTAAATGAGCTTTGCACATCTGCCTCTTATTTCATTAACTGTCTGCACATATATCTGATAGAATGGAAGCCTAGTGGCTTCTTACAGCTTGTTCTGTGTTACTATACAATAAGGATGGGGTTGTTAGCAAAGTGGGCACAAAAGCGTGTTTATCCAGTGGCCAAAATAAATATACATGCCATTGTGTAGGAGTGCTTTTGTCTCTAATCCGTGTTGGTAGAAACCTATTTAAAGCACATCAGTTTGCTTTTCAGCCTCCTATTTAGTCTTTACTTGAGTTCTATATCTTTGAATTTACCATTTTCATAACACAAACAAAGTGTTTTCATGCCCTAAAGCATGATATCAATGTCTATATGATTTTAGATAACACAGCCTACCATATATAAAATTAAAAGTAGAAGTGAAATTTCATCCTAGTCTCCTTCCAATGCATCTTTTAAATAATTAGATATGACATCCTTCTCTCAGAAAGTAAATTTACATTTCCAAAGCTGCAAACAAGTATTTCATAGTGACAATCTTATTAGGTATGTATTATTTAAATTAATTACAAAACAATGAGTAACAGTTAGACTCCATAATTCAAGGTTTCTTTTAAGAAATATGCCCTACGAATTATGGGTTATGAGTTTAATAAAAATAAGATTTCACATGAAGGCCTCTTTCATTAATACTCAAGCTTCTAGTTACAGGATAATCAATTACCATCTGAAAATTAAAATAATTTCTAAGCAGAGGCTTTTTTTCTCTATCTGTAAATAAGTGATCAGTTTATTCATAAGAATTTACATTATTGAATATTCAAAGTTTGTTTACTTTTGCTTATCATATAGTAAATTGCTTTGGATTATACCAATATTTATTTATTTATTTAAATAGTGAACTAAGCTGAAGGCCAAAAACACTTCATTAACAAACATTGTGTCCTGAACTGATATAGATTATTGCAGATGATTCTTTGATGCTTTCTGAATATTTAAGTGTTCTTGAATCTGAAATTGTCAGTTAATTGTGCTTGAAAATTGTTTCAGTGTGTTTGAGTGATAAAAAATATACATTATACATATTTTATGGATTTCAGAAACCACAGAGCTTTAATAGCAAAATATCAGTGATCTTTAAAATTCACTTTTGACTGTTTATTGCAGGTCTGGTTTGTATGAAGTCAAGTACTTCAGTGGTTGAACTGGTTATGCTGCTTTGTTCACAGGTAAGACATTCTCTGGTTTTGATTGTATTAATTTCTTTGTCTAGTGCTAGATTACTGCCAGCCTAATAATTGCATCTTGCAGTTTACTTCACTCTTCCATTTCAGTATAAGAAAATACAATTACTCTCTTCTGGTAAGATATAAATTGTATATTTTTTTAAAATATACATTTCATAGTTTTTCTGTATTCACAGGGTATACAAAGCATATTTGCATTTGTTTTCTTAAAGTGTATGGATGTACGTGATGCATTTTTCCTGTTGAAGTCCTTCAAGCCCATTCTTATTTAGAATATGTGAATAGGATAATACTGTTGTCATAATTTTATGTCAAAATCTGTCTTTTAATCAGTAATTTTTAAAAATTTTACTTTGTGCTCATTTTATTACTTTTGATATACATGACAACCGATTGGATATTTTATATAGCTGTCAGTATATAAAAAGGAGAGCAACATGATTTAGGTGTTCCTCAAGAACTGACAGAAGCAGAATATTTCTATTCAAAAAATTCTGTGTTTAATTATTGGGGGTTTAGCGTAGCAGTAACGCGTTTCTCAGAAATCTAAATCAATTAACTCTTTGAATTGCTTTCACAAATAAAATATTCAAAGCTAAAATAATTCCTCACACTGTGGATTATTTATATCTCAATTTTAATAATTTTTGTTTTAACAGAAGTGTTATTGGCTAATTTTGTATATATACCCTTTTACTTTAAACTACAGGTTATCAGCAAACATTTTAGAACTTTGTTCATTTTGTAAAATATAAGAAAAATACAATGGCCTAACAGATCCAAATAACTTTGCAAGTTTTTATACTTCTCTAAAATCTCATAACAATGTTTCATTTACCAGGTTCCCCGCAGAATTATAATACCAGTTCAACTCAAATCAAGTTAGTGTATAAAATGCCCAGGTTAACTTATTATATCATTATTGAAGAAAATTACTTGTTTATAGCTTTACTTGAGCATTCACTGCTGCACATCGAGAGCATACACCAAAAATGTACTGAAAACAAATGAGTTTCTAGGGGCAATTGAAAATAAGATCTACTTTTGGGGAATCTATCTGAAAATAATAAACATTTACAGCTGATTTTGGGGAAGGGTGTTCCAACTTACCTTTGTCTTGCCAGTCTGGAGGTTGCATTTCTTCAAGCTTGTGACATAAGGAAATCATTAGATCTTCTTTTCCTTTTTTCTCTTCCCTTTTTTGCCTTCCTCTTTTAGAGGAATATCAGTTAGGGAAAATACAACCCTGGCAGGAGTCCTCAGTGGGATTTGAACTTCAAACCTCCTCTAACAGAGCACTTGAAAAATTTGTTACCTAATGGTGTAGTCCTGGGTTCCAGGAAAATTCCAAAAGATCCATTAAGGCTTTTGAGCTCTATGTTCATGTCATGCAATTTTTTTATTTTTCTTTTTAGCAACTCTTGAAACATTTGTCTTGAGGGAAGGAATAACTTACAGTCCTTTCTTCCATAGCCTTTGGTTTTACTGCAATTCTCAGGAATAAACTGGAATGTAGCATTAGGGTCTAGTGTCTTTGATGGCCTCATCATCTAATCATAGGTTTAACATTACTCATTTGCTGGCTCCAGGAATTCCTGCCATTAAGGGCCCTAGAGATGAAACTTTGCCTCAAATATTGATTGAAAGGAAGAGAGAGAAATTTAAGCTCTTTCTGCAATGCTTTTTCTTTAGACATCTCAGTAAAGCTATGTAACAAATGCAGCTAAAATCAATTTGTTATTTTTATGACTAGTATACATGTTGGGTTTCATTTCAAGGTATTTGATTGTTTTAAAAATAAGATGCATTTTATACCTGTAATAATTTGACGAGCCTAATAATTTTGAAGTTTCAAACATTTATTCATTTTCTTCAGTGTTTGCTTGGAAGAACTATTTTCCACCTACCTAATTACTTGGGGAAATTGCAAGCTTTTAGTTTTTATACCCCATCTGATACTTCAGGGTTGTTTTCTTGTCTTCTAAATAAGGAAGATTGTCTCCCCTCATATCCATTTACTATGTCAGGAGCTAATGCTGTGGTGTTGGTGGAGTGATGTTAATTGTTTCTGCAGGAGTTGGTCAACAGGGGGCTGCAATGGTGCAAATTGCAATCTTCTCCTTTCACCTTCCTAACTCTTGGAGTATTGCTTCTGTACAATTGCATCTCCACAGAATATTGTCTTTTATACTATAGGCCTAAATAAACCAGTCTCTAGTTCTATTCATCTGCAGTGAAAATGCTGGGGTTTTTTTCTATTTACATTTTTAAACTATCTGTCAAATTAAAACATGAGGTAAATGGTACAAAAATACTAATACATAAGATGGTTAGAAGAAGAGAATGGCAGATAGACAAATATTGTAATCCAGCCTAATGCTAACGGAACTTGTAATTAGGATCTTAGGAGCTGTTTTTTGCAGCAAATGAGGATAACTCATGTCAAAGAAAGAAAAGAAAAGAAAAGAAAAGAAAAGAAAAGAAAAGAAAAGAAA